AGAACGGCCTTCCCTGAGCGGAGGGGTCGCAGAGGGGCACCTGCACCCAGGGCGCACAGGGAATCCCTTACCTCTTCCTCGCACCCTGTGGCCCACGCTGGGCTGGGTCACGGGGCCAGGAGGAGGGGAGCCTGGGGGACGGGAAGCAAGCGTGGGGCAGGTGGCAGCAAATGCGGAATCAGAGAACACCCCCCCTCCACCGGCTGGGCATGTCAGCCCGGGGCCACACCCGGACGGGCCGCTGGTGGAGGGCGCCCACGTGGGCACAAGCCAGTGCCCGGGCTGCGGAAGACGCCAGAGCCACCGCCTTGCCGCCAGATCCCGGCCAGGCTATCGGCCTGCTCTAAAAAATCGACATTTTCTAGGTTCTGATAGGACTCCGTCTCCCCACACACACAACGTCCAGAATACGACCCAAAGTCACTCGATACGTAAAGATCCGGGAAAACGTGTCCGAGGACGTGAACGGGGACCCGTGCCGGAATCAGGAGAAACACCTCCGAGCCTTCTGTCGCTCTGCCCGTCACCACCACCCTCCACGGGGCAAACGCTCTTAAAGTGGACCGGAAGTGAGAGAAGCTAAAAATCACTGAAACGAAAACTTCAGTGAACGAACAGAAGAACCTGCAGGAGTGGAACCCAGGCAGCCTCAGGGCCTCGGGACAATATAAACAGCCCGCGTGTGTGTGTCGAGGGAGTCCCGGCAGGAGGAGAAAGGCATCGGTTTGAAAATACGTTCATAAAGACATAAGGGTCGGAAATATCCCAAATTTGGTGAAAGGTAAACTCAAAGATGCACAGAGATCAGTGGGCCACAAACAGGATGAGCTCAGAGAAGACCATGTCAAGCTGTGTATCTTCGACCGCAGAAACTGGTTTTTTACCAGTGGGAGGGCCTGACCCAGGCCAGTCAGCAGCAAGGACGGGCTGTGACCACCGCCCACCGCCCTCTGCCCTTCAGGGAGGACCCGCTGTGCGGGGGCAGGGGGTGGTGCTCTGAGTGGTTGGGGGCCGTCCACCTGGTGCACAGGCCCTGGGGCTCCCTGGGTGGCGCAGGCCCAAGTCGGCCCCCACCTGTGTTCTGCCCCGGGGCCGCTCTGAGCTGGCGCTGCTGGGGCTGGGCTTGGAGACGCGCAGGTGAAGCCGAGCTGTGCACCTAGGCCGGCCGCTGCTCGTGCTGGGCCCCGGGCTCACGGAGGCCAGCTGCTGCCTGTTGGGTGAGATGTAGGAGGTTGTGAGGCAGGAACCTACCCGTCACTCTGCGGGAACGCTACTGTTACCAGCTGTGAGCTGGGTGGGACTCGGCCCCAGGCGGTCTCCAGGGCAGGGCAAACAGCCTTGGGCAGGTAAGATGGAGTCTCGGGTGCATTGGCACCCACCTGCCGGCTCTGGCTCTGCCCGCCCGCCTGTCTGGGAGACAGCTGTCGCCCAGCTCCCGCCTTGGTGCCAGACACTTCGGTGCCTCACCAAACGCCACTGGTGCCTTTCAAGCTGCTACCCCGATGCTGGAGCTCAGAGGGCGTGAGTCTGAGTGAGTTCACGTGTCGGTTCTTTGAGAGCAGGGGGTCAAACGCATGTTCACTGGGGGCCACATCAGCCTCATGGGTACCTTTGAAGGGCCGAGTGGAATTCTAGGACGGCATAAATGTAACTGCCCCTTAACTAGGGGCCAGGAGCTTGGCGCTGCCGCCGGCAGAAACAAGGTGCCGGGGCGGACGAAACGAGGTGGAGGGCCGGGCTCAGCCCGCGGGCCTGGTGCTGGCCGCCTGTGTTTCGGAGGAACTGCTCGGGGCGCCAGCAGCTTTCTGTGCTGGCTGAATCCCCGCCAGTTTCTGCGCCCAGAGGTCATGGGGACTTCCCGCCTTGGCACTGGTACCCTGGGCTGGGGGCCTGGGACTTCCGAGATCTTCCTCCCAACTGTTTTTTACCCGTTCCTGTGCAGCTGTTTCCGTCCTCACCCCCCACACCCCCCTACCCGGCCCGTCCTCGCCTTCCACCCCTGAACCCACCCCTTCTGGCTTTGTCCCTGGGGCCGTTTTAAAAAACATATATTTTATGGATTACGCTGTTGCAGTTGTCCCATGTTCCCCCTTTTGCCCCCCCTCCACCCTGAACCTCCCTCCCACCAGCACTCCCCCCCCCCGCAGTTCATGTCTGTAGGTCGTACATGTAAGTTCTCTGGCTTCTCCACTTCCTGTGCCGTCCTTGCCCTCCCCCCGTCTGTTTTGTACCCACCATTTATGCTTCTTGTTCCCTGTGCCTTTTCCCCCACTGCCCCTCTCTGCCTCCCCGCTGATAACCTCCACGTGATCTCCATGTCTGTGATTCTGTTCTAGTTGTTTGCTTCGTTTTTTTTTTTCTTTAGGTTTGGTTGTACTGTTCATAGTTTTGATTTTTTTCTTAGGTAAGTCCCTTTAACATTTCATATAATAAGAGCTTGGTGATGACAAACTCCTTTAACTTGGCCTTATCTGGGAAGCACTTTATCTGCCCTTCCATTCTAAAGGAAAGCTTTGCTGGATAGAGCAACCTTGGATGTAGATCCTGGCCTTTCATGACTTGGAATACTTCTTTCCAGTCCCTTCTTGCCTGCAAGTTCCTTCTGAGAAATCAACTGATAGTTTCATGGGAACTCCTTTGTAGGTAACTGTCTCCTTTTCTGGTTGCTGCTTTTAGGATTCTCTCCTTATCTTTCATCTTGGGTAATGTAATGATGATGTGCAGTGGTGTGTGCTTCCTGGGGTCCAACTTCTTTGGGACTCTCTGAGCTTCCTGGACTTCCTGGGAGTCTGTTTCCTTTGCCAGATTGAGGAAGTTTTCCTTCATTATTTGTTCAAATGAGTTTTCAATTTATTGCTCTTCCTCTTCCTCTTGGTGGGACCTATGATTTGGGTATTGGAATGTTTAAAGTTGTCCTGGAGGTTCCTAAACCTCTCTTTTAAAAAAAAATTCTTTCTTTTAGCCCTGGCTGGCATAGCTCAGTGGATTGAGCGCGGGCTGCGAACCAAAGTATCGCAGGTTCGATTCCCAGTCAGGGCACGTGCCTGGGTTGCAGGCCATGGCCCCCAGCAACCGCACAATGATGTTGCTCTCTCTCTTTCTCTCTCCCTTCCCTCTCTAAAAATAAATAAATAAAATCTAAAAAAAAAAATTATGTCTTTCTTCATTCTGTTCTGGTTGAATGTTTATTTCTTCCTTCTCCAAATCGTTTTGAGTCCCGGTTTCCTTCCCGTCACTGTTGGTTCCCTGTACATTTTCCTTTATTTCACTTTTCACAGCCTTCACTTCTTCCTCTGTTTTTCAGCCACACTCCTCAACCAGTTCCGTGAGCACCCTGATCACCAGTGTTTTGAACTGTGTGTCTGATAGGTTGGCTGTTTCTTCATCGCTTAGTTGTATTCGTTCTGGAGCTTTGATCTGTTCTTTCATTTGGGCCTTTTTGTCTCCATGGCGCGGTTGTTACGTAGTGAGGGGCAGGGCGTTATGTGTCTCCCAGGGTGGGACGACCCTCTTGGCTGCATTGTGGTGTTGCACGTGGGGGAAGGTCTGAGAGGGAACAATGCTACTTGCTCAGCTCTCAGCCAGCTTTGGGCCACTTTCTCCGCTGCCCACAAGCAAACCGGGCCCCTGTGGCACTGATCTCCGGGTGGGCGGTTTGTGTACGTTCCAGGACCCCGTGGGTCTCTCCGATGGACTCTCCTGTGAGGCCGGGAGTTCCTCCCGCCGCCTCAACCCCCACAGGTGTTTTCAGTCAGAGGGTTGAGGCTTTATTTCCTCGAGCTGGAGCCCTGGGTTGCGTGTCTGTCTTGCTCTCCAGCCGTTCCTCCCAGTTTGTCCGCACGTGAACGTGGGACCGCCCGCTCCACCAGCCGCTGCATTGCCACGAGTCCTCTCCGCCCCTCCTGCCCGTCTGGATGAAGGTTTCTTCGACTCCTTGGTTGTCGGACTTCCATACAGTTGGATTTCCTGGCAGTTTTGGTTGGTTTTTGTGTTTAAATTTGTTGTTGCCTTTCTTTCGTTTTTTTTTTTTGAGGAGTCACAGCGTGTCTACCTGTGCCTCCGTCTCGGATGGAAGCTTCCTCTGGTTTTTTTATCCACCACACCTGGGTGGGGGACCAGCCTGTCCCACGTGTGCACCCCGTAGCAGCCCGGATGGGTGTGGCCTCCTCAGTCCCGTGGCTGTCAGACTCCCATTCAGTTCGGTTTCTGCCGGTGCTGAGTGGCGGTGGTTCTGTAGTTTGGCTGTAATTTTGATGTGGTTGTGCAAAGAGGTGGGCCCTGTTTATCTGTGCCACCATTTTGACCGGAAGTCTTTATGTCTGACTTTTCAATGTAAAAACTGTAACATTGTCTTTCAGGGTTATGTAAAATGTAATATATTGACAAAATCACAACATAAAGGAGAAAGGTGGTAAAATATTAATTCTGAATCCCACAAGTTTTAGGCTTCTGAATGCATTTAACAGTTATACTGTGGTCTGTTGTGTGTGCTAAAATGAATTGTCTAAAAACAACGTATGTACCTTGGAACAGGCCGTCCCACAGACAGAGAGCGGATGAGTGGTCACCAGGCGAGGAGACGGGAGTAATTTCTTAGTGATTACGAGGGGTTCTGGGGGTGGTGGGAGACAGGAGACAGGCTGCAGCTGCCCACACTGCGAAGGTACCCGCCCACACGCCCCTGCACAATGGCTGACTGTGTGTTACGTGTTTCCTGAGTGAAAACAGAGAAAACTCAGGGGCCACGTGCCCCTGGCAAATCTGACCAGAGGGGAGGAGAAGCAGCTCGTGGGACCCGACCCCACGGCCTGAGGCCACGCGGGCAGCTCGTGTCCGCTCAGCCTGGGGCTCTGTTCCCGGGTCCGCGGGCCGGGCGTCCTGCGGCCCTGGCCCCCGCCCCCGCCCCGCAGCCCCGCAGGCAGCGCCTACGACCCGGCCCGCCTCTCAGCACCAGGGGCTTGGTGTTGCGACACAGCTCCTTTCCCTTGGGGGGTACAGAGTACAACAAAATTAGTCACTTTTATTTAAAAGAAACATTAAAAACAAGTGTGCAAAATTAAACTGCATGATTAAATACACATGACAGAACATGCATGCTGGACGCTGAAACCCACGTACAAAGTTAGCGATTACAGGAGAGTGACGGACAGGCGGACGGAGGACTTGCTGCGCAGGCTCCAGGTGTCTGCGACGTGAACCGAAAGCCGTGACCCGGGGCCTCCAGAGGGGACGGACGGAGCCCAGATGCAGACTCAAGCGGCACCGACCGATGGCGGGGGGGGAGCCCACAGCCGGGACCGCAGTGAGCGGCCCACCCCGCCGGCGCTGGGAGACGGGCGCGGGGGTCCCACCCGCCCTGCGGGGACACCGACCCTGCCCCTCCGGGTTCTCTGCCTCAGGTGACACTGCACGACTCTGCCCCTGCACACAGCAGGGGGCCGTGTCACCGCCGCCTCCCCAGGGGACCCAGGCGAGGCTCACGTGCCCTGCCCACGGGTGGGCCTGGCGGCGGCCTCGGAGCCCACAGCCGCCCCAGGACACAGGACGCCGGTCGCAGCAGGCGGGGACCTTGCAGCAGGGCTCCCGGGGGAGCGGCCGCCTGTGCCTGACACAGCGGCATCTCTGCCTCGGGCTCGGACGGGAGGACACGCCCCTCCCCTTCCGCAAGGCAAGCTGCTGGTGCTGCTGCTCTTGCCACCTCTGGCCGTCGCGTGAGGACTGACATCTACACACGGCCGCCCACCTCCCCGTCGCGGACTCGGTGAACACAATGGGATCTGTTCCCAGAGCAAACCTCGGTGTGTCCGCCCCGCGCCCGCCCAGGCCCCCAGTCCGTGCGGAGCCCCGGCGCAGGCGTGGGGAGTGGTGGTCGCTGAAGCTGCCGCCGCGCCCGCACCCCTGGTGACCAGCCAGTGTCCAGCTCGGGCTGCCCAGAGCTACGTGAGTGTCCGTGGGGCCTCGACGGTGGTTCCCCCTCCAACACTGGGAATGCGAAGCTCTGCGGAGGGAAACAGATGGCCGCGTGCGGCTTCCAGGCCCAGGTCCCCGGGCAGTCCCTCCGGCCCATGGCCCACGAGGCCCCAGGAGTCTGGGCGCACCCAGCACCGCGGGGCGCTCGGCCGTGGGTGCCGACCGCTCTGCGGAGGCGGGGTCACAGCTTGTCATCGGTCATCTCCAGGAACTGGGCGTAGACGTCTCGGATGCACTCCCCCTTGGGGTTGAACAGGAACTTGTAGTAGCTGCCGTCAGCACAGATCGCTGCGGAGAGAGAGGCCCCTTCACTCACACGTTTCTCCCCGTGACGTTCGGAGCAGGAGGCCCCGTGCAGCCCCACGACCGGGGGCTGGGCAGAGCCCCAGCAGCCGGCTCGTGCGTGAATCTGTGGGCAGCCAGGGGCCCCCCTTCCTCGCTGGGCATGTATGGGGCCACAAGCCCCAAGCACTCGGGAGTGCTGGCACTGCAAACAAACACAAGCCGACCGACCGGCCCCAGGACTTCCTGGGAAACCCCAGAGGGTGGGGAGCCGGCAACACCCCACCTGGCTGTGCAGCCCCCAGGGGGAGGCCAGGAGGGGCCGGCGAGCTGGGCCAGCACAGCCCAAGCGAGGGCAGGGGGTGGAGTCGCGTCTGGAGGGACCACTCACCGATGACGGCATTTGGCTCTGTTCCGAAGGCACAGATGCACGGAGAGCCCGAGGGCACCTGGAACTTGGAGAAGCTCCACTTGGAGCTGAAGTATTTCGGGAGGAAACTGGCCGAGGCCAGACTGCGGGGACAGGAGGAGAAGCCACGGTCACGTCAGCACGTCAGAGACACGGCTCTCCCCGACCCAGCCGCGGCCTTGCTCAGACTCTGTGCCGTCCACCTGGAGGACCAGGTCACCCCAAACGACCGTGTGGTGGCCCCGCGGCTGCAGAGGGCGCAGGCTTCCGGGGCTCGCTGGCAGTCGCGTCTCCGGCCACAGCGGACAGAGGTGGCCGCAGGAGTCCGGGGCCAAGCCCGGACCCTGGGCGGACGCCCAAAGGCACGAGCGGCGGGGCCGTGACGCCGCGGCTTCAGCGTCGAGTCGCCCGCCCGCCCGGGCTTCAGAGGCTGGAACTCGGGGGAGACCCGACAGACACTGACGCGACCGTCCGTCCCTGGACACCCACCTCGACTGCTTGTTCCGCTTCGGGTCCTCCGCGGCGAAGATGTGCACCGTGCCGTGGTCGCTGGACACACAGATGAGGGACGCGTCCTGGTTGAAGTTGATGCTGCAGGGAGACCACACGTGCTCGGGCTCCACGCCGACCCCAGCCACAGGCCCACCGAGCCGCCGCCCGCCACCCCGGCCTTCCCGGCCCCACTGACAGCCCCGCGGCAGGCCCCTCCCTGGGCGCACAGCCAGGGCCACGCTCTGGGGACGAGGGAGGGCCTCCTGCAGACTGCGGCCTCCACACGCCGCTCGGGGGAGAAGAGCGCCACCTCTCCGACCGCCCCGCCCCGCCGCAGGGGCCCTGGGAGCAGAGCGGCAGGAGCCGTGCCGGAGGGGCCCCACGGCCCGCGGGCACACTCGCTGACCTCACACACGAGTCAGGCTTCTGCGCACAGACCCAAACGCTGCGCGGCGGCTGCGGAGAACGAAGCCCGGCCCAGGCGGGGTCCCGCCCTCCCGGGCCGCGCACAGTGGGGCTGCGGCCACCACACGCGCAGCTCGGTCCCCAGAGAGGGCCCCGGCGGTGACCGCCGGCCGGCACGGCCTCTGCTGTGCGCCTGAAGGCAGCACGGGAAGCGGCTGGAGCGAACGTGAGGAGGTCGGCCAGTGCCGGTAAACGCTCAGGCAGTGAGGGGTTCAAAGTCACAACGTTCTCCCTGCTTTTGTGTACGCTCCCATCAGGGATGTTAAGATTAGCAACGATAAAATGAACTGAAGTTCGAGCCCCAACAGGGCAGGCTGCCTCCTGCCTGGGGGCGGGGCCCTTGCCGGCCCTCCCCACACACAGGCCCCCCGAGGTGTGGGCCCACAGCAGCGGCCTCCCCTGGGGTGAGACGCGGGTGGTCCTTACCAATAAATGTTCGCTGCTTGAGACCCTCTTCGCAGCTCCTGGATTAAATGCCCTGATGAAGTATCAAATATTCTTATAAGGGTCCCCTTTGAAAGACAGTGAAGTGTTTCATTATCACAGGTTCGCAGCGTGGCAGTCGGTTTCCGCAGTGACTGACGTTCACAAACCCACCCGCCCGCACGGCCTCCCCCAGACGCCCCCACGTCTCCCCGGACCCCACTTCTCCTCGGTCGTGCCCAGGAGTGGGCTGCGGGCCCTGTCATCCGACAGCTCTGGGCAGGGGCCAGGGAGGGCAGGGGGACTCGGGACCCTGGGCAGACGCCCGCCCGGGGAGCCACCCCGCCCCTCGAGGGCTGTGGGCCCCGTGTCTGGAGAGGCGGTGCCCACACGGGGGTCCCTCGCGTCAGAGAAGGGAACGCTGCCCGGGGCGGGGTGGGGGGGCACTGCAGGGGGCACACGGCCTCCCCAGGGGCAGGGGCACGGGCTCACCTTTTCAGACGCAGTTGCGATTCTTGTTCCCTGCAGGTTGAGGGCGATGCAGCTCAGGACGCCCTCGTGGGCGGGAATGTCCACGGGCGGCTTCTCGGTGCTGGCCAGGTCCACGAGCTGCACGTGGCCGGTGTGCGCGCCCGGGAAGGCCAGGAGGGAGTTGTTGCTGTTGGGGCACAGGACACAGAGGCCTGCACGGAGACAGACGGCGGGAGCCCGTCAGGGCCTCGGGCCATCGTCGGGGCCTCTGCTCTCCCACAGGCAGGGCCTGGTCCAACCCGCGCTCCGGTCGCCAGTTCCCGAGGAATAAACAGTCAGGGTCACTCGTGGGTCTCCCCTTCTACCGGAGCCCCAAAAAGGGTGTCACAGGGGCGAGCACAGCCACCCCCCCCGCCGAGACCGTCTCGTGACTGGAAACATTTTCTGAACCATCACTCTCCCAAGCCCGTCTCTCGGGGGGCAGGGCCCTGCGGGACAGCGGAGGCCGGACGGCCGGGCTGCAGCGCACGGGCACGGGGGTCCGCACCCGGTCCCCCTGCCCCGGGCGCTCACACGGTCCCCGCGGGCTGTCCTGAAGAAGTAAACAAGCTGATGCTAAAGGAAAGGCGCAAATCCTACAAGAACCAAAAGACTTTTGTGAATGAGAACAAGACTGGAGGACTTAGGCTTCCTAACTGCTAGAGGTATCTCGAAGCTCCAGACACCGAGGCAGCTCCGGGCTGGCACAAGGACAGAGACACCACCGACCACGGGGAGAGAATCGAGACCCCAACTGCACTTCGTCACCAGAACACACAGAGAATCCTTAGACCTCAGTAACACGAACAACTTTAAATCAGGCAGAGGACGCGAAGCTCCTTCACCAAGACGACGCGCGAACGGCAGCGAGGCCACCCCCTGCGGCAGCATCTGCAGGTGCGAGGCCGGCAGCTGGACCCGCACACGTCACCGAGGGGGCTGCGGCGCGACCCGGCAGCCCCGCCCCTCCGTGGAGCTGCTGGAGGGGGGGCGGATGAGGACTCTGTCCACAGAGCCCATGTGTCGGCGTCCACGGCAGATGCTGATCGCGACGGCCGAGAGAACCCGTGTGGACAGACAGCCGTGGCCTGCCCGTGCCCTGCCCGTGCCCCCGACCGTGACTCAGCGACAACAAGGAAGGAAACAGCCCTGCGTGCGGAGGAGCCCGGGAAGCACTCAGCCCAGAGGAGGATGCCGGCCGCAGCCGGGGAGGGCGGGGGCGGGGCGGGCCCTCGCCGCCGGGGGTCACTCCCTGGGTGACGGGCCGCTCTGTGTGCCCTCGCTGTGGGGCCGTGACACAACCTGGAACAACTGCCACAGTCTGTCACGTGACGCACCCAGAACGGGCACGTCACGTCTCGGAAAGCTCGGAGAAAAACCCGGAGCTCCCCGGAGGAGGTGAAGCCGCCAGCAGGAGCGACGAGGTTCGCCGTGAGCGCGCCCCCCGCCGGCCGGGGGACAGGAGGGACGCTCGGGTGCTCGGGCCCAGCGGAGCTCCCGACGGGCTGGCAGCCGCCCCGAGGGAGGCCCCCCCTCCCGCTACAGAGGTCCGAGAGCCCCCGCCCACAGGTGGCTTCTGGGAACAGACGACGAGCAAGTGGGGGAAGGACCACCCAAGGGGCGGGGGAGGGGGAGCCCCAGGACCACCCCCCACAGTGGGGCCCTCGGACCCGCCAGGCCGTCGCCGAACGCCTCACCTTTAGGGTTATAGCAGGTTTCAAAGACGTGCAGTTGGTGGGGGTTGTGTGTGAATGTAAACACCTTGATCATGGAGTCCAAAACCACCACGATCCTGGAAGGAAAAGAACAATCAGCATTCTTCTCCCTAAAAGCAAAACTCAACCATTTCGTGGCATCTGCTCCTGTCATTCTGAGCCCTGGCAGGACAGGCCCTCCCGGCAAGGCCCCGGGAGCCACCTGGGCTCGGGCAGAGGTGGCCCCCGCCCGTGCTGAGACCACTGTCACCAATGGTCCCCCTGCAGCGAGAGCCCCGTGGCGCACGGGGCAGAGGAACACTCTGAGGGCCTCCAGGTGCGTCTGGTGACTCGGGGACGCCCAAGGGCAGGGGTCCCGGCTGGGCGCCAGGCCTGGCACTCCTGAGGGTCCCCACCTACTGGCATCGCTGGAAGTAACCAACCTAGGAACTCGGGGACGACCTTGGCCTTCTCCAGTGCCTTTGTCCTCTGCAGCTGACCGTGCTGCTGTGTAAAGCTCACCAGATTTAATCCAAATTAAGCGCTGCCCTACCTTGCTACCAGTAAGAAACCTTCGCTCTTCTCCCAAACCCTCTGAGGGCAAAGGCTGAGAAAGAAACTCGCTCTTATGACACCTTCTCCCCAAGGAGCCTCCAAACTCCCCTTTACCTCCCACCTGAAGACGGGCACTGGGGCAGCTTTCGGAAAAGCGCGGCTCACAACTCGGGTCCCCAGTCTGCACCTGCCGAGCGGGGACCGCCCCCCGAGACTGAGCGCCGCCGAGGGCGGTGCCAGGCCCAGCGCGGGCGCACCCCCCCAGGCCCCCGGGCCCTCGCCAGCAGCCACCCCCGGAAGCCCCGGAAGCCCCGTTTCTCCCTGCAGCAGCAGCATGAACAAGCCTCGCGCCCTTGCGTGGAGAACTGGGGCCACCACAGTCCAGTGTGTCGTTTTCCCAGGCCCTCCCTCAGCATGCAGCGCGCCGGCCGTCTTCAGGGAGCGTGACTCCCCCACTCCACAAGTCAGGCTCCCCACCCACCTGTCCCGCCGCAGCTTGACCGCCTTGACCTCCGTGGAAAACTCGATCTCGATGACGGTCTTCTTCTTCAGGTCGTCCCAGATCATCACTGCGACACCAGAGAGACCCGTGAGCACAGGGCCCCACCACCACCACCACCACCACCACCACCTGAGCAGGCGGAGACGCGGCCGCCCTCCCTACTCAGGACGCCCTGTGCCGCCCCCCCCCCCCCACAGCTGTGAGTGCTCGGCAGGGGTGGGCAAGCGCCAGCAGACAGAGCCCGCAGGCGGGCGGGGCCGGAGTTCACTCCCTTCGCAGAAAGGCCTGGAAGCGCGAGGGCGGCCCGAGGCAGTGGTGTGCACTTTCGCTGCCCAGAGACGAGGACGAGGGACCGGATGCACGGCCCGGATCACGGGAGAAAGCCTCACGGCCTCGGGGCGCCGCACTGCCGGGCGCCAGACACTGCGGACGCGCTGTCTTTGCTGCAGCCCCGGCAGCAACCTCCTCTGTGTCCCTCACCGTGATTTTGTTTTTAAAGATTTGTTTATTTTTAGGGATAAAGGGGGAGGGGGAGAAACACCAGTGTGTGGTGGCCTCTCACATGCCCCCGGCTGGGGACAGGCCCGCAACCCAGGCCTGTGCCCTGCCTGGGAACTGAACCGGTGACCTTTGGGTTCACAGGCTGGTGCTCAGTGTGCCAAGCTACAGCAGCGGGGCCCTCCCTTGCTTTGAAAGAGGCCAGCCTTTCACACAGCAACGTCTTTAACCGCCCCCCCCGCCACAAAAGCAGTGCCTTTACACCTAGAGCCACGCTGGTTTTCCGTTCTGCGTGGCAAACGCACTCCCGTCTCTAAGGCAGAGGCCCTCTGCGGGAGAATAACCCTGCTTCAGAAGAAACGTGTGGCCTTTCCGAAACCGGCCCAGGCAGAGCACCCAGGACCACACGGGGTCCCGAGGACACCCCTTCCCCAGGGGCCCGTCCTGCACGCTCCCCGGGTGGGACTGCAGGGGCTCGAAGGGCCGCAGACGTGAGGGTGGGCCACAGCGGCCACGACAGGCGCACACGGGAGCCGCGGCCGTGAGGCACATGGCGGCCTTACCTTTGTTGGGAGGGTACTTTGGTTTTTTCCCACCGCCAACTAACGCTAAGTAGTTGCAGCGGAACAGCATTTCGACGTGGCCGACTCCTCCTTCCAGAAACTCTGAAACGATACGAAGAAGAAGTTGGTACGTCCACTTCACAGCTTAGAGGAGGAGAACACGAGGTGAGACGCAACGACCGGCACTGGGTTTGCACGCGGCAGCCCCCGGCACCTCACTGCCGTCAGAGGGGAGAGTGGACACGGGTCAGCGCGGGGGAGCTCCAGCCCGTCCCGCCTCCCGCCCCCGGCTCCCCCGTGGGCGCCTGAGGCCCACGCTCCCGTGCTAAGGGGCGGCAGAGTCTGCGGCAGAGGCAGCAGGCCGAACGGTTCAACGCGACGCCCGAGTTCTTTAAACAAGCCCTCGACCACGTCCCCCCGGAAGCTGGCGGTGCTCAGAGGTGCACAGGAAGGCCGCACGAGGGGGAGGAAGGCCAGCAGGTTCTCTGGCGACACGGCCCGGTGAGGCGCCCCAGCCTCCGGCTCCAGCCCGAACTGACCCCGAGCCCCCGGGACGGGCAGGGCACAGCCAAGGGCCAGGGAGGAGCCGGCGGCTGCCTGCGCGGCCGGAGCTGCACAGGACGGTTCCAAACTCATCAGGTTACTCCATGAAAAATTTAAAGCCCAAGGCCCCGAAGAAACCCTAGCACGAAATATTCCACAGTATCCCTAACGGAAACAGTCTTTCTTTCACACAATGTGACAGTCCTCTGACGCAGGCTGCCTCCACGTAATTCTGGCTGAACAGGACGTGGCCACAGTCCAAACCCAAGCGAGTCCAACCCCCCCGCCCCGGCCCCGCCAGGTGTACGGCTTCAGGCCTGGCAGCTCCCGGCCGCTGCTGGCGCCGCGACCACCCCCCGGGGCCCACGCCCACTCCCCGGCACCAGGAAGGCCGTCTACCCGTTAACACCTGGCCGTGGCCAGCACCTGGAAGAGCCCAGAGCTCAGCAACACGTCTGACAACCTGCCAGTCAAGGGGAGCAGGCCCCCACCGCCGGGAAAAGACACTGTCTTCAACACAGGCCGCCGGGAAGCCAGACGTCCACCTGCCAAGTGTGAAGTTGGACCCTGAACGCACACCACGTGTGAAAAGTAGCTGAAAATGGGCTAAAGGCCGAAATGTATGAGATGATACAAAACTGTGACACTCCCAGAGAAAGCACAGGTGAAACCGTCACGACACTGGCTGTGGCGATGCTGTCTTGAATGTGACGCCAAAGCACAGGCGACAAAAGCAAAAGCAGACAAATGGGATGACAGTACCCTCAAAACCCTCGTGCCTCAGAGGACGCGATCGACAAGGTGACCCGGGGACCTGGAGGGCGGAGCCGAGATCTACAGCCTTGCGCCCGGCGGGGGAGAGCGCAGAGACGCAGACAGAACTCCTGCAACCCGACCACGGCAGACCCCCAGCAGCCCGACTGAACACGGGCCCGGAGCCCGGACAGACATGCCCCCGACAACGACGAGTGTGTCCACACACACACACACACACACACACACACACACACAAGAAGGGGCCCCCCAGCACCGAGCATCTGAGAAAGGCAAGCCAGCCCCCAGGAGATACCTGGCGCCTCACAGCCACTGGGGCGGCCACGTTTGCGGCGGAAAACCACGAGTGTGGACAAGGTGTGGGGAAGCAGGGGCCCTGCGCACCGGGGCACGGCTGCCACACGGACAGTACGGTGAGTCTTTGAGAGTTAAAGCGGCCCGGTGGGTCGGACCGTCGTCCCGCACACCAGAAGGCTGCGGGTTCAGTTCCCGGTCGGGGCATGGGCCTACAGGAGGGAGCCCATGGATACTTTTCTCTCTCCCTTCCTCTCTTCCTGAAATGAACACACACACGTCTTCAAAAGGCTTTTGAAAATGAGAAACAGGGCCCTGGCCGGGCAGCTCAGCTGGTTGGAGCTTCGTCCCTACACACGGAGGCTGCAGGTCCGGCCCCTGGGCAGGGCACATGCACGACACAACCAGTGAACGCGCAGATCAGGGGAGCAGCAATCGGTGCTCCCTCTCCCTCCCTCCCCTTCTCTCTCTGAAACACCTACTTGACAATGTAAAAACAGCCCTGGCGGATCCCAGCAGCCCTGCTCCTCAGCGCAGCCGACCCTCAAAAGAGGTGAAAGGCCTCGGAGAGCGCACCTCACACCCGTGCCGGGGCCACACCACTCCCCGCGCCCACGGGGGAGGAGCCGCCCACGTCTGCCCGGGGGGGGCGGGGGGGCGAACAGAATGCGGTCGCCCCACAGAACAGGGGGCCGTCTGGGCCGCGGCACAGCACAGACGAGCTCGCAGACGTGACGCTCAGTGAAGTCAGCCAGCGTCTGCTCCGCCGGCCCCAGCAGCCAGCTCCCTCCCCTCCACGCACTCGCTTCCCTGTCTCTCGGGTCCCTTCACCCGACGGGCTGGGGTGACCCCCGACGGGCTGGCGTGACCCCGAGGGGCAGGACGCCCACGCGGCCCTCTGAGGTTGGACGGGACGAGGAGTGTCGGCCGCGGGCCAGCCCCCGGCACACTGGCGGCCAGGCAGGCGGCCGGGCAGGCCGTGCCGGGAGCCAAGCACAAAGAGGGCGCCTCTTGCTCCCGGACACCTGGTGGACGCCTGGTGTGGCTTGGCAAGGACCCTGCCCGCCCTGTGCGTCAGCGGGTCCCAGCCCCTGGTGCAGCCCCCGAGGCCAGAAGACACCCGACCGCCACCCTGGGGGCTCACCTCCACCCCGGTCGCGTGCCATCCCCTCCAGTCTCCGCTCCCTCCCCCTGCCCACACAGGGCCGCCAGCGTCACGCGTGGGAGGCCCCACGGAGGGCACACGCGGAGCCCCCGCCGCCCGCCTGCGAGCCCGGTGAGCAGGAGCTCAGCGCGTCCCCGGCCCCTCCGCCTCGCGGCAGAGCTGTTTCCGGGTGGAGTCCTCTTTCCAGGTCCGCACCTACTGAATTCAGTGTTTCACCCGACACAGCATTCTCAGCGCATCCCGACTTGCTCCTGTCGTGGCCGGGGAGCCTTCTTCGTTGGGCATGCATGCCCACGCGTGTGGTGCGTCTGAGCCCAAGCCCACGCTGCGGCCCCCGGCGTCGCCTCGAGCACGCCAGACAGGCTGCATCACGCAGCTCGAGCAGTCCTCCCCGGGGTGCCCGGGCCTCCCGGAGGGAGCAGCGCCACTCGGACGTCCGGGGGAGTGCGCGCCTGCAGCCCCCCGCTGGGCGAGGGGGTGCCGTCCCTGCCAGCAGCAGGCTCACCCGGAAGACGCCCTCGGCTCACGGCCAGTCAGTTTCCCAGCTCAGAGCCCCGGCCACAGCCCAGATGACAGGGCCCAGACCTGGGAATGACCCCGTGACCCTAGGCAAGCAAACCTCCAAGACGAGAAAGGACCAAGGCCACGTCGTCTCCTGCTTCCTACCGTCGAGCCAGGCAGCCAGAGACGTCACGCAGACGGAGCTGCCAGGTGAACCGCACGCGCGCCACAGAAAGTGCACCGTCGAGCAGCTCGGCACCAAATTCACACGCCAAGTTCACGCTGCAGCACAACCACCACAAACCTCTAGCTTATCTGTGCGAGGACTCTGAGTTTACTGCAAACTTCCCTTCAACGTGGGAAGCAATTAAGATGCTGCCAGCAACCGTCTCTGGAACTCCTAAGTCTCCAGAATTTAAGGACAAAATATCCTGAAATTTGCAAGTCCAGCTATTTCAAAATAACTTGTAACTACTTGTCTGTGCAAAGCAGAGCTGTCTTCACTCACCGTGGAACTGAAACTGAAGGAACAGAATCGGGTTCCGATGCTGGGCGGCGGACAGCAGCCTCCCGGCCCCGCTGCTCGTCTTCGAATTCACTCATCTCTGCACTGACCTTGGGGGCAAAGTGACCCTCGTCTCCCACAAAGAAGCTGAGGCCAAGAGGAGGCGAGAAGCTCGCCCAAGGCCACGCAGCCGCCGGGGCAGGGCCAGGCCGCATGCCGTCGTCGGGGGCGTGGGAGCTGCAGCTCAGCCTGCAGATCCCGCGCCTCCTATGCGTGCAGCACCACCGCCTGGGGTGCACACGAGCGCTGCACAGACTTCGTCTGACAAAGGGGTTCCACCGTCAAAGAAAACCCCCTGAAAATCTCTGAGGTCAGCCTCAGAGGACTGTCAGCCTCAGAGGACTGTCAGCCTCAGAGGACTGTCAGCCGCCGTGCCCGAGGACGTTTACGGCGTGCAGTGCCGACCTCGGAGTCGGGGGCGCTGCTCCCTCTCTCCTCACACCGTCTAATACACCGTCTAACAAAAATGGTGGCAGCCGACACAACAATACCCGTCTGGTGTGCATGGAGTAAAAATCCTACTTATTTTATTGTCAGATGGGCAAGAAACAGACACAGGATCCGGCGGAAGTAACTCCTGCTGGAGTGTGGTTGGTGGGGTAGCACCATGGGTGTGATGGTTTATAGTTCTAATGTGAACATCTCACCTCCAATGTCACGTGGTGTGCCTGAGTGTGACGTGGGTACGTTACAGGATCACACGCGTACGAGCTGGTAAAAAAGGGGGTGTTCCTGGTGCCGCTCTGAGCTCCGGGGCTCCGCAGAGCCTGAGCGACTGGCCTGGGTGCCGTGGGACAGAGACGGCCGAGAGCCCCCCCACCCCCACCCCAGCCAGTGCAGGGCGGCTCCTGCTAGGTGGGAGGGGCTGCTCGGCGGGCGCCAGACCGCAGGGACCACCGCTTACAGAGGAGGGATTCCCAGCACCAGAAGACACAGCTCGTGCACTGCATGAAAACCAGAACGGCAGCTGCGGGAAGAACAAGGGTGCTTCTTGCTTTCCACCCTTTATCTGAGACTTGCCCACCCACTGGCAGTGCTGCCTTCTCCCAGCAGGACCAGCAAACACTAAACGCTTAAGAAAACTATATACGAGAAAAAAACCAAATTGAACAAATTCTACTGGCAGATTTAGCGTTTTTCCCTGTCAAATGGGAAAATGACCACCATTATTTTACCAACAGAACCCCTGCCTGCAGCGTGCAGTCCTGGACGACAGTCTCACGGCTGCAGACAACGTTACTGTGGCGCCGGCCGCTCGCTACTGGGAAGGAGGGGTCCGTCTGCTGGGACTAAACGCGCCGCTGGAGCGCTCGGCCACCGCACGGCCACCAGGCCCACCCTCCCCGTCCTCCCACCCACCGGGAAGACGGGCACGTCAGAGTGGGGTTCGCCGGAGAGACCACGCGGCCCCTGCCGAGCCGCCACCGTGTCCCCGCCCTGCACAGACAGGCTCGGGCGACGGAAAGGGGGCGCACAGCTCCACCCAGGGGAACAGGCGGCGACCGGGGACCCTGTTTACTTCTCGAACCAGCTGCCCCTGCCTCCACCTGCAGACAGAGCTCAGACTCTGAGGGCTGGGAAAGGAGAGGAGAGGAACCCTGAAATGCCGGTTACTTCTTACCTTGCTTCTCTTTTTCTTTCAGCGGATCGGTGTTGTAGACTCGGAATCCATTTTCCATCCCGCACGCAAAGCACCCTGGAGCGAGAGAAACACGTGAATCAGATCGCCGGGGCCTCTGCTCAGGACCCCAGGCCTGGAGTGGCAGAGCAAGCAGTGGGTCCAGAGAAAGGCCCCCCCCCCGCCCCCAGCCCGGAGCACATGGACGCGGCGCGCGCGCCACACGGCCCTCCTGCCCCGGCAAGGCCGTCTGACGTGCGGAGGGGCCTCTGGAGCCGCTCGCTCCAGCCCCCACCCCCCACGGCAGGGCCCTTCTGGGGGCCACGGGGTGAGGCTCCACCCCAAACACTTCATTCCCGAGAGAGGGGCTCGCCGCCGACCTGCACGGGCCCCTGTGCGTCTCCGTCAGCGCCGGTCTCTGACATTCACATCCACGCTGGCTTTCTGGCCCCAAACACACCCGAGCACCGAGTCGGGGCCGAGCCCCAGAGAGGCAGCAGCAGCACACAGGGACGCGTGCAGGCGTCTCCTGCAGGGGCATCCCAGCGGGGCGGACAGAGCAGGCTGGGAGCGGAGCAAAGGGCTGCCGGAGCAGGGGCTCCCAGAAGGCGGACGCAAGGACTCCCGTGACCTCACTCCCCCCGGCGAAGAATCCCCGTTCCTTAAATCCCCGCTGGGGTCACCAGGAGAGGCCTGGGGCGCCGTCTCCAAGTCACACGCCAGGTTGTTACCAATTAAAAGCACCGTGCCCTGGCTGGTGTGGCTCGATGGACTGAGCGCCAGCCTGCTAACTGAAAGGTTACTGGTTAGATTCCCAGGCAGGGCACACGCCTGTGATGCAGGCCAGGTCCCCAGTTGGGGGTGCAGGAGAGGCAACCACACACGGATGTGTCTCTCCCTTCCCTTTCTTTCTCCCTCCCTTCCCCTCTCTCTAAAAGGAAATAAATAAAAATTAGGAAAAAAGCACTATTTAGGAACTCAAGGAAGCACCCCAGTTTCAAGACACGCCTGTAACCTGTACTTCGTCTGCTGCAAGGGCGACCACCCCCCGCGCTGGTTCCCACGCAGCTGCTGGCTGGGAGGGGGCACTGAGCCTGGGCCACTGGCTCATAAGCCCGAGCCCGCGCAGAGCCTCCCAGCGGCACACGCACGGCTGGCGGCAGGGCCGATGCCGGTGCCGACGCCGGGCCTCTCCCACGCTCGTCTGCTGGCTCCCGGCTCTGCAGCCGCGTCACCCCATGCTGGCTGCCGCCCTCCCAAGAGTGGAACTCCTGCTCACGTTTTTTTGTGCAAGTTACTTATAAACCTGCAGAACCTGCGACTCAAGCACCAGGACAGCAACCTGTGGACCATGCTGTGCGGTGAACACTGCGGCTCTGAAATGCACCTCGTCGGGGCCTGGAGTCGGGGACTCACTCAGAGGCGCCAGGTTATTTATTATTATCTCTTAACACGTTCTGAGTTACGACCCCGCTTTGGGTCACTGAAGCCCCGTCACCTGGGCAGAGACAGCAGAGCTCTGCTCCCTGGAAAATGCGGGACAGAGTCCAATCTTTTCCCGTTCCTCACAGTTACTGCAGCTTCCCCGAGTTTTAAGCCTGCATCTATCTCATTTGCCTCACCAGAAAACATACATTTCTTGCAAGACTTGTATAAAAATACACAAATAACTGCTACAAACCCAGAAGAAAAAGGCAGACAACGCAAGAGAAAAACGAGCAAAGGAGTTGGACAATTCACCAAAGAGAACATCCAAATGGTCAGTGAACATGCAGAATCAGGGAACGTGGAAACGATCTCGAACGCACCACAACACGGGCCGCTGCACACCCACCCGCCACAGGGAGGACCCCGAGAGCGTGAGGCGGGCGGGCGTGGAGCCAGGGGACTCAGCCGCTGCGGGGGGCCGTGGACCGCACAGCCACTTGGGGCACCGGCGGCACCGTCTCCTGCAGGACTGACAACACCTGTTCGCCAAAGGACACGTGTCAGGGCCTCGCAGCAGCACTCAGAGCAGCCGCAGACTGGAGCTGCCCGAATGCCCACAGGCCTCAGAGCGAGTGGATGGCGACACAGTCACACAGAGAGACACTGCGCTCCAAGAACGACCTACGACTACACCCAACAACACGGGGTGGGGGCGGGCGTCGCGCAGACGGGGAGCCAAACCACGAAGGCAGACGCAGAAACCAAGCACTCTCGCGGCAGAACCGCCCCGTGCCCCTGAGGTCGCAGCGAGCGGAGGGCGCGCAGGGGGCTGGGGGTGCCCCGTGTCTCGGCCCGCGCGCGCACGCGGGTGCGTTCAGTCCGCAGAGCGTCTCCAGCCGGACACCTGGGCGACGCGCACCCTCCCGCAAGGGCGGTGGACGGCGGTACACAGCGGAAAGGAAGGCACCAGACACCGAAAGGCCGGAAACCACTTTCTGAGGAGGCTAGGCACCGTCCTTGCTGCGTTTCTTTATTACTGATTTTGCTTGGTTATTATGTGAAACATGGCATTCGCCTTCACATCTTTGCTATCTTAACATTTTCCAGAAAAACACGGAGCCCCTCAGCGGGCGGCCGTGCAGGAGCAGAGGACGCAGGAACCACAGAGGGCGCTCTGCCCCGCCCCGAGGACCGGCCGCGCACGCACAGCGCCCCCGCACGCGCAGGGGAGAACTGCGGCGAAGGAGCCCGGGGTCAGGGCGTGGCTTCAGGGCTCAGTCCCGCGCAGGCCAGTCCCGGGAAGGTGCAGGCAGAAGCGCCGCAGCCAGGCCCCAGACCGCACCCACCGACTCTCGGGGTCCTGACGGCTACAGCGAAGGTTGCCTCTGGGAAAAGACCAGTCAAAGGCTTAAACAATTTAAAATCGTGAGCACAGCCCTTTTAAAAATCGCCCTGGCTGGGGTGGTTCAGTGGACTGAGCGCCGGCCTGCAAATCAAAGGGTCACGGGTTCAATTCCCAGCCAGGGCACGAGCCTGGGTTGCAGTCAGGTCCCTGGTGGGGGGGGGGTGTGAGAGGCAACCACACAGGGATGTTTCTCTCCCTGTCTTTCCCCCTCCTCTCCCTTCTCTCTAAAAGTAAATAAATAAATAAAATTATTTCTAAGCCTAAAATTGCAATTAGTAAAAACGCTGAGTGAAAATTAAAAATGGAAAAAGAAAAATTAAAAGTCAGTGTAAGTAAAAACAGCAATCACGTGGCAGACAATTACAAGGAAGTAACCTAAGGGTAACCTCAAACTTAAGTATAAAACCACATTTCTTGTGTTTTTCAAAAACACTGTGAGCTTTACTTATGATTTCTTACAATGAAGTGAGCCGGTTTTACAAAAGACTATTTTTCAGACAACTGAAACATGTCTAGTTAAAAGCCAAAGCTGTATTTTTAAAAGTCTTTAATAAGATGTTATAAAAATATGAACTTCGCTGGTTTCTTAAGTCATTAGCATCATTTGAGTCACAATTATTACACTGAAACTTAGTACAAAAATGCCTCCTTTGGTGCTCAGGCAGGCAGGTATGTAAGAATGATTTTCTTGCATTAAATGACTGCAAGTCACTAAGCTTTTCCCTTTTGGGTGCTTTTCCTTTTTAATTTTTTTCTTTTATTGATTCTAGAGAGGGGGCAACGGAGAAAGAGGGAGAGACACAGAAGTATCGACGGGTTGCCTCTTGCACGCATCCCAACTGGGGAATAAACCTGCAACCCAGGCAGCTGCCCTGACCAGGGATTGAACCCGCGGCTTTTCCGTTTGCAGGACGTCACCCCAGCCACTGAGCCGCACGGCCACGGCCCTAGTGTTTTCCTGGTTACTTATGGGGCCCTTGCGGTCGGCCAGACACCTCTTCTCACTGAACGCGTGCCTCTTAAGGAGTTGTTGTATCACTGTTAATGAGTTCTCAATTATTATAAAATCTTATTTAAAAACCCACTGGCCTACTCCCGGTTATCTAAGCCCAAAACGTTCAGCCACAAATTACTGCCCAATGTCCAACATCTGGACCCAAGCGCGGCCGCACTCGCTATCGCCTTCTTCCCCACCCCCCTCCCCCTTGCCACCGCCCGGTCTCACCGCGGCCTCCTCCGGGAGGCCAAGGGCCAGGAGCGAACCTGCCTCGACCTCGCAGCCCGCACACCTCCGCCCCCAGCTCGCTGGTCCCCGATGCCCGCGAGCTCTCCCCCGACACGGGCGCAGCGCACGCGCCCAGCGCCAGGCAATCACGGCGCCGTCCTACAGCGCCGCTCTGATTCTCCCCGAAACGAAGCTGCCGAAGCCAGCCCGGAAGAGCACCTTATCCCGGACCCGCAGCTGCCAGCCCTGGTCTTCCCGACGTGAATCCCGGTCGGTCCGCAGCGGAGACACGACTCCAGAGCCCAGCCCCCGCCGGCACCCCTGGGCACCCGCGGGCCTCGCCAGAGCAGTTTAAATCAAAATGCAAGGGAAAAAAAATACGATTTTCCTCTCTGGCACTCAGCTGTCAAATTCTAAACAAACACACACACCCTGGGAGGAGGTGTTCCTTCAGTGACACTTTCTGATCGGAACCGACAAAAAGACGCCCAGTCGGGCCCGCGAGAACGCTCAATGTAAAGCGTAAGGAGGGGCCGGGGCCCGCGCGGCTCCGCAGGCGCGAGCGTCCTCCCGCGACCGCAAGGTGGCGGCGCGATCCCAGCCGGGGCCCGCGCCCGGGCCGCGGCTCGGCGTCCTGCCCGCGCACGTTCGGGCGGCCGCCAAACAACTGCGCTCGGGGGACCCCGAGATCTCCCCCAGGCGTCTGCGGTCAGCCGGGCTCCCACAAACTCTCGGAGAAGTTCAAACAGAAGTGGGAGCGGGCCGCCGGCTACAAAGGGCAGCGGCTTTCAACAACACGCAGCTAATCTGGCGAAGTTCCCGAACGAGCACGGGGGAAAGACCAGCTCCGAGGGAGACCCGGAGACGAGCAGTGTCAAGAGCCCGATCACGGTCGAGCCCGGGCGGCAGTCCGCGGGCCCGGAAGGCCGACGCGCGGCCCAGAGCGGGGTCCGGCCTGACTCGCGCGGGCAGCCCCAAGCAGGGACGCGGAGCAGAGCGCGGCCGGGAGGGGGCGGCCGGACAGGCAGCGGCCGCGGCCCCGAGGGTCACGAAAAGGCCCGGAAACAGGGATCCGCCGCGGCCCAGACACCGGCTGGGAGCGGGAGCGGCGGCGTAAGGGCGGGGCGCGGAGCCAGGCCGGGCAGACCCCGGGGAGGCCCGGGCGTGTGGGGGACCCCGGGAGCAGAGGCCCCCTGGCCGGGGGCTCCGGGGACTCCGGGGGCTCCGGGGGCTCCGGGGGCGGGGCCGGGCGCGCGCAGGGCGCGCTCACCGTGGTCCTGGTTGAAGCCGGCGTAGAGCAGCCCGTTGCCGTGCGGGTTGCACGGCAGGAGGTTCATGGCGCCGCCGCGGAGGGTCCCGCTCGTCAGCGCCGCATACCGCTCCGGGAGGCCGGGCGCGGGTCCCGTCAGGCCGCCTCCGAGGCCGCCGCGGCAGGAAGCGAGCGGCGGACGTGCTGCGTGCGTGCGTGCGCGCGCGCGTGCGTGCGCGTAGCCTAGGAGCTGCGGAGCGCCGAAGACATCCACCCGACAGGCCTGGGCGGGGAGGGGGCGGGGAAAGCGTCACGTGCGTGGGGCGGGGCCTGAGCGGAGGGGCGGGGCCTGGGCGGATGGGGTACACCTGCCAGGTGAGAGGAGACGCTGAGGGCAGCCGATCCGTGGAGCCAAGGGGAGCAAAGGAGGGGGATTCCAAGCGGCGACGGTGCCCCTGGCCCTCCCGAGCAGGCAGGGGCCAGAGCCCTCCGGAATTCACACGCCCCATGGTAACCCTGTCTTCTGGAAAAAGACGGAAAACATGACTCACCTGACCCCCATTCCTGACGGCCCACTTTCCCCTCTGGAGGGCACACTAGGGTTTGAGCCAGTGTGTCGGTATGGCATACATATTTCCATATTCAAACCCAACGCTCTTTTTTGTAGGAGAAAAAAAACACCATCTACTGCTTTAGCAATACAGGTCACCGAAAGTAGGCTCCACAGACCCCTCTGGCACATCCCCAGGGTCTCTGTGAGCCTGGGGTCTCCCCTAGACACAGGGGTACTCAGTGAGACGTGTGTGTGTATTATGGGGTACTTAAAGAGTTAAGAGAAAGAAAGGTGTTGTGTGCAAGGCGAGGGGAGTGTATATCGCCCCCAGTGGGTAAGCCAGAACACTCCACCCGCACAGCCAAGACCCTAGTCACCTCACGTTCCCAGGTCCTTTCCAGCACCCTCCTACGGAGATGCCACCCCCCTCACAGGTTTCATGAAGGTGGGAAGTGTCCCTCATTGCAGTGAGTCAGCTGGCCCTAGTGGTCTCTGATGGCACCTCTGGGCTGCCTTACCTAGGAGGGGTGAGGGCTGGAGCAACAGCAACTGCTCTGGGGCAGGGTGGACTTTGGAGCTCTTCCTTTGTGCCTCGGACTTCCTCTCCACTAAGACTCAGAGGCCTTCAGGTCCAGGCAGGCTCCACCACTGCCACGGGAAAGCAGAGCACAAGCAGCCGTACTCTGCTCTTGAGTTCTACGGGGAGGTAGGGAAAGGGTGGTAGTATGACTGTGAAAGCCAAGACTTTGATTGGCAGGAACCAGCCTTCTTTGAGAAGACAGGCAAGTATATGAGAATCCAAGGATCTAGAGAAAGAGGGCCCAGATCTCAACCCGAGACTGAGATTACGCTTGTGGGAAGGAGGGTCCTAAGTGAGGAGGGAGGCAGGGCCAGCAGGGGACACAGCTTCCCAGGGTGCCCGACCCTCACCAGGGTAGGGGACAGGGCAACCACCTGCCTGCTGCACAGAGAAGCTGCTGGAGGTGCTCACCTGCCCACCACACAGCTCCTTCATCCAAGTTGCCGTTTGGCGGCGGTCTGTGATAGTTCTGCATCCTGAGAACAGGGCCATGGGGGAAGGGAAGGCCCCCGGAACCCACACGCACATAGTTGGGGGAGTGACCTGAGTAGCCTGGGTTCCACCCCGGTCCCCGCCCACCATCCTCCTGGGAATGGGTCTCCCCAGTTCCCCAGTACGTGCAGCTTCTGTTCCTTCTTACATTCCCTTTTCTTCTCTTTTCCCCATTTTATGGAATTTATTGGGGTGACACTGATGAACAAAATTATACAGGTTTCCCTTGGATGAAGCTGTTCTCCTGCAAATCGAAGCATCTCTATCTCTGTCTTTAGGGAAACACAAATATTATCAAGCGTGTAATTGACATTTTCCCCAGATTCAATATTGGCTGAGATGATTCCTCAACACTTCAGGCTCTCAGTCCGGGAAATCACCGGCATTGCAGTAATTTTCACAAGGCCATTGAAGACATGATTGCACATGTTTTGAATCTGGACCCTGGAAACGAGAACCACAAACATCTGGGACGTGATGGCACATGTGTCTGCAGTTGGGGTGCGTTTTGCCGGCAGCGAGGGTCGTGGGACGCAGTGACAAATGACGAGTTTGGAGAGCTGTTTGCTTCAGGGCTCAGTTTACATTTTAATGATATTTTCTGTATATTTACCACCAAAACATGCATGCTTCTACTTAGCACATCCTGTGTTAGGGGTGTATTGTTTTTATTTCACACAAATGCCACTTTGATCTGCTGAGGCACTTTCTCCCGTGTCATATGAGTGTCCTAACTTTGTCATCTCCCAACTCTGCAGGCCAGCGTCCGAAATCCAGGTGTGGGCAGGGCCTTGCTCCCTCCAGAGTTGCCGGGGTGGAGGGAGTTCCCTCCCGCCTCTCCCAGCCCTGGTGACCCCCGGTGGCCTTGTCTGCGGAAGACTGGGGCCTCTAGGCAGCCGGCGTGCTCTGTGAGATTGCCTGCCACAGAGGCCACGGGAACTTCATTATGGTCCTGCTAGGACACCAGGGGTCATCCCGGGTCACCTTCAATTAAGAAAACAAGAAGGACACGGAAGGGGGGAAAGAACGCCGTTTGGCCCAGTTCGACCTTGCAGCCGGGGGACCGTCCCCAGTAGCTGCTGCCATCTGTGGGTTCCACACCCCGCTTCCCTGCGGTTCTGAGACTCGGGCTCTTCAGAGCGGGGAGAGGCTCCTTCCGCCCGGACCTCGCCCTGCCTCTCCTGGTTGCAGGTGGGGCAGAGACGCCCCCCTCGCCTGTCCCAGCGTTCGTGGTCGGTGGGTCAGCCCTTCTCTCTCTCCGCCCACTGCCCAGCACAGAAGGGTGGCACGGCCCCAGCAGGGTGTCCTCACAGGCCAGCAGCTCCCTGAGGGGCATTGTCCCCTGCTGTCCACTCGCCCGCTCCCCTGTGGACATTTGTCCCGTCCTGTCTGGCTTCAGGCCTTCAGTGGCCGTGGGTGGCCATGCTCATTGCCCCTTTCTGGGCCTGAATGAAGGTGTGTTGCTGCTTCCCATTCTAGGGTCCCTTAAATTCCTAAAAATCTATAAACTATTAACAGAAACTGAGGACATCCGGGCATTTTCTCATCTCAAGTTATTCTCTGAGTCCTTCCTTCCCACCTCCAGCTGCCGCAGAGAGACAGCAAGCAGGTACGCCAGGCGCGAGAGACCCTGCGGGGTTCTTCCCATCACTTGCGGTCGCAGATAGGGACCCGTCTGTTGGGGGCGTGGCCGCCACCGTCTGCCAGGCACCAGGGGGCTGCAGGGCACCTGTCGGCGTTTCTCAGACCGGCGACCTCGGCACACGGCGGCCCTGGGACTCGGCGGGCTCCAGCGGCACGGGTCACGTGCTGCGTCCCGTGGACCAGTCGCTCACGGGCCCCCGTGGTGGGGACCCACGTGTGCATCGGGCTGGCTGCGGTTATACGGGGTTTTCGACTGCACAGGAGGCCGGCCCCGCTGACCCCGCGCTGCTCAAGGGTTAACCGTACTCCCCGCTGCCTGCCTCTACGTTTCTTTCCGGGAAAAGGAACCTTTTTCAACAGATGACACCGCTCAGGAGTGAGGCCAGTCGCCAGCGCAGCGGACCAGCGCTGACGCGGGGCGCCAGGGACAGGCGAGGGGGAGAATGAAGGGAAGGGCTGTGAAGCACACACAGTCGGAGAGGACCCGCCAGCGACCCCGCCGCGAACCGGGCACACGCGCCCCGGCCGAGCGGCATCCTCTGCCGCGAGGGGGCGCGCTCTGCCTGCACCGCCGGCCGCCCTGGCTCCGACCTCCGCCGCCCTGGCTCTGGCCTGCGCCGCCCTGGCTCTGGCCTGCGCCGCCCTGGCTCGGTCCGGTGGAACTCGAGGTATCTTTGGCATTTTCGTTTCTTAGCTTCATAACTCGTGGGGTATTTTATACAAAAAATGTAGATTTACAGAAAAATATGCATATAAATCACTTATTAATCCCCAAACGTAGTAAATAACATAGCAAAAAGTTTTATCAAACCCTTTTGTAAGGAGCTGGGCGGGGCGCTGGGCGTGGGCGGCGTGTACACGTCAGGGCTCGGACAAGAGTGGAGAGCAGGGTCGGGGAGAGGCCCCTCCCCCGGCGCGGACTCGGACTCCCCCGGCGCTGCTGTCCGAGGCCCCTGGCGGTGCACGCCGCGCCCGCACCCCGCCCTTCGCGTAGGAGCAGTTATCTCGAGGGAAAAGCTGCACCGCAATCGTGGGGTAGGTAACACTCGGAGGACCGACGCCCCCGTGGTAGACACACGACTAACACGACAGCTTCATGCACACCCACGTGGAAACGGCGGAGGCGAACCGTGGGCCGGGCGTTCGCCGCGCAGAGCGGCACGGTCGCCGTGCGGGGTGGGCCGGCGCCTCTCGGACCTGGAACGGCCTCCCAGCCCCGGGGCGCCCTCTCCCGGGGGGTCCGGGGGTCCGGCAGGCGCCCCTCCTGAGCCTTCCTCCTTCCTTAGGAGACTTTGCAGCTGTTCCTGCTGCCGCGCTTGGGCGGGCTCTGGGGCGGCCGGGCGGCCTTGCCTTTGCGGAGGCTGCTCCTCTTGTGGGCGGGGCCGGCGGCCACCGAGTAGGACCGGCCGTGCATCATCCTGGCGTTCAGGCCGCTGGCCATGGAGAAGGACTTGAGGTGGCTCCTCAGGGCCAAGGGCAGCGGGAGCTTGTCCACCAGGTGCACGGGCGTGCAGGACACCACCGCGCGGCAGCACAGGTCCTGCAGGCTCAGCACTTGGGAGAGACGATAAAACGGGCTGAGTTTCCGCCGTCCCTGACGCGGCCACCGCAGAGCAGCCTGCCCACGCGCCCTCCCCCGGGCTCTGGGGCGGGTGGGCCCGAGAACCAGGGCTGCTGCTCCCAGCACGCCCACAAACAGCCTCTGGCAGGGCCTGCGGGGTCTCATCGCCTTAAACTCAGTTTACCCCCGAATCTGAGAGCCCATGTCCCTCCCCATCCGCCTGAGAGGTGAGCAGACCTGGAGGGAGGGGAGTGTCGTGGGAAGTCACCTCAGGACTCACAGGATCCTGGCTGGGGGTCAGAGACCACAGGCTACAACTTCGAAAGAGGTCTCCTCTCAACTGCACAGCTGGCATCGACCCCCCATGTTGTCATGGGAGGTGTGTTTGAGAACACATTGGGAAGAAAATGTTGCCATTTCTATCTCAGCTACGTCACTCGTGGTGTGAGCCAGGTTCCCGCCCACGCGGGGGCCTGCTGGATGGGGGGGGGGCAGAAATGGCAGTGCACCCCTCTGTGGTCACAACAACTCCTGGCCCCTGAAGGACTCGGGGAAGAAACACGACCTGGGGTTGGGCTCATTTCTAAAGTCCTTCCGAGAGTGGTTCTCAGCTGGGGGCGACTGTGAATCGCTGGACATCTGGCGGCATCTGGACACACTGTGGGTTTCACTACTGGAGGGCGGGGGCCCGGGGTGATGCTCACCCCCACCCCCCCCAGGGGCGCAGAGGACTGTCCTGCCCGATGGGAGGGATTCTGGGGCAGGGCCTGACTTAGAAGAAGACTGTCGCTCAATCGGCATCCTGCTGCCAAGTCAATGAACATGCATTTCGTCATCTTTGTCTTGTAAAAGTAAAATGCTGACAAGTTACTCAGAGGGAAACTGACAATAGGTCTCCGCACTTCAACACTGAGGAGTTTGGATATTACGTTCCAACTGCCGGTTACATTCTGCTAAAAATATCCTGCTACTTCTGTTTCCCGAGTTCCTCTCTCTGTGAACAGAGTGAGTGGAAAGGGAGTTTGTTCCTGGGGCGATGAGCTCCCCCTGAAGCCGTGGGCGTGGAGGTCTCTCGGCCACCTCGCGCCCCACGTGCGCTGCCCTCGGGGTCCGTCTGTACGGGCTCGGGGTCCTGCCTCCGGTGGAGGCCGGCGGCCACCTGGTTATGAATGCCCCCCCCACCCGCCCGTGTGCAGAGTTTGGAAGCCTCTCGTGGACCCGCGGCAGGGCCGTGGGTGCGGTTTCCCCGAAGAGCACACATGCGTACTCCGGGGGAACGGAGGCGGCGGGACCGCCCGGCACCTACCCTTGCTCGGCCGCCAGAGCCGGTCCATCCCGTGCCGCAGCAGCACGGTCCTGGCCAGCTCCGTGAAGGACTCGGTGACGTTGAAGTTGCACAGAGGGCTGACCTCGAAGAAGGTCACGCCCAGCCGCTCCGCGTAGGCCTGCGCCTGCTCCGTGGGCACCTGCCGCCTGAAGGCCAGGTGCAGGCGGTTCCCCACCAGGATCTTAGGGACGCCGGGGGCGTGCTGAGGGTCGGTCGGGAGACAGGCAAGGCAGAGGGTCGCTTGTGCGAGCTTCTGCTGCTGGCACCGAGGGCGCGTGGGGTGGATGGCACGCCCCCGAACCCACACCGACCCGGAACTTGGGGACGCGTCCTTGTCTGGAAACAGGGTCTTTACGGATGTAGCCGGGGTGAGCCACAGAGCCGGCCACTGGCGTCCTCGCAAGAAGAGGACACAGAGAAGACACAAGTGACCACAGACAGGGGCAGAGACAGGGATGTGTCTGCGTTCCCAAGGACCCTCCTCCGGAACTTTGGGAGGGAGTGGCAGCCCTGCCGACACCTCGATCTTGGACTCGGGGCCCCCAAAATGTGAGGAAGTAAATGTGCTGTGGAAGCCGCCTGGTTTGTGGTGACTTGTCTCGGCAGCTGCGGGAAACTGATGCGGTGGGTTCGGTCCCGGCCACTCCATGGCCCCACTGGCTGTTGCGCTGGTCAGGGCGCCCGCAGCCAGCAGCCTGGCTGCCGCCCGTCCACCCACCCGACCACAGCAGGGCAGACTGAGGCTCCAGACCACGCGCAGGGCCCTGACGCCCCGGCTGGGCGGTGCCCCCACCGGGGCCGATGCCGTGCTGGCAGCCGACCCGCCCTCCCTGTGGTTGGAGCCTCGTGCCCAGGCCCGCCGGCCCGGCCCCACGCCCTCCCGCCCACGCTGAGGGAGCTCTCGCGCCCCGAGCCGCACCTCGTCGATCTCCTTGATCCAGCGGTCGATGCCGTCGAAGGACCAGCGGTTCGCGATGTCGTAGACCAGGATCACGCCCTGGGGAGAGGGGCCAGCTGACCGCACGGCAGGGGCCGGCGCAGGGCGGGGCCTCTCGCAGCCGCAGACTCGCAGCCGGCTGAGGCACCGTTGTGCACCTTCCAGCACACGCCTCCATCTGCCCGGGTGGCAGCCCCCGGGCATCCCCATTATTTCACAGGCTCGTTGGCTGATAAGCCCGCCAATGCCACAGTGAGCCGGGGACTAGAGCTCAGTTCCCACGTCCACGAGGTGCTCCAGGGACACACAGCCTGGGGCGCCGGGGTCAGCAGCTCAGGAGGGGCAGCGCCCACCCACCTGGACGGGGTGCTCGGGTGCACACGCACAGACATGCACGGGATCATGGACCCCGGTGGCACATGTGCATGTGCGCGCACACGTATGCCGACCCAGGTGCATGTCTATACACACAGGCATGAACACACATGCATAGCACAATGCCCCCCACACAAACATGCATGTGTGCACACTCATGCTTCACACGCCTGCACGCGCCTGCACCAGCGCAGCTCGCAGAGACAGGCATGCATGCACACATGTGCACACGCGGCCCCGGTGCTGGCAAAGGCTGTGAGCCGCCAGCACTCTGCGGCACGCTTCCAGACTCGGCCTCAGGTCACGCGCAGGGCACAGCCGCCTTCTCCCCGGTCCCCTCGGGAGCCCCCCGCCGCAGTGTGAGCACCCACTCAGGGCTGTTACCTGTGCGCCCCGCGAGTAGGAGCGGAAGATGGTGCAGAACCTCCCCTGCCCGGACGTGTCCCTGGAAGGGAAGGTGGCAGAGACGGGTGAGACTTCGCTGCCTCTCCCCGGGGGCGGGGCTGCTGAGCCTGGGACACCTGTCCACGGGCGGCCCTGCCACCGAACATCCCGGACCCCAACGCAACGGCCACGCTGTCCGTCCCCTGGAGTGGCCCGGACATCAGGGTGTCTTTCTGGGCCCATTCCCTTGTCTGATTGTCATCATGTGAGTTAAACTAGAAAAAATCGTGGTGGGTTTCAACATGGTCATTCTGACATTTACGTAAATCCAGTGTAAGTTTCTAAAGTGGTGTGGAATTTAAGAGAGAGCTGGGTGGCAACGGATGTCGGTCCACATGGTGGGGTCCCTCGACGTCCATGACCCCTGAAGGGTCTTGGCGAGCCCACAGACATGCCCCTGCGCATGTCCACACGAGGGGCTGACCCCGGGCCCCGAAAGCCAGAGCGGAGGAACTTCAGGAAGCAGAAGTCCCGGCAGGGAACAGTGGCACCCAGTGCTCTCGGGACCAGCGGACACCATGGCCGGCTCTCTGCTCAGAGCAACGTGGACACACATCTGTGTGTGCAACTAACACACCCATTTCCACGGGAGATGCCTCAAGACATGAAGTCCCCCGTGTGCCAGGCGAGTCCTCACGTATGACAGCATACACGAGGACACATGTGCTATTTTCTCCCCATCCCCTGTGGGTGACCCGCCCCCCGAGACTCAGAAGAGCAGGGCCTGGGGCTCGGGAGAGGCTGGAGGCCGGAGAAGCGCCTTGAGCGTGGAGGAGGCCGAGCAGAACCTCGGGAGCTGAGGCCTTGCCCGCAGGCGGAAGCTGCTAGAAAGCCGTGGGCAAGAAGCGCAGCCCTGGAGACGGGTGTGCAGCTTTGTTTGCAGTGAGGGCCTGTGGGGCTGCTGTGAGAGGGGGGCACTGTCCCGCCGGCCGGGACGGCTGCACGGCTGACCTGGCTGCCCGTGCCAGGCCCTGCTCTCTGCGCCGCTGGGGGTGCGCCCCACGTGGGCACCCAGGGGGGAGCCCAGGGTCCGGCCGGAGCCACTGGGGCCATGGAGGCGTTTACCAAGACCAACTGCCCAGGTGAGACACAGATTCGGATGCCGAGAGAGCCCGGGGTTGGATGGTGGGTTCCCCTCCGGACGGGGGCGGAAGCCGGACCACAGCACCGCCCGCTCCTCCAGGCCAGGCCAGGCCAGGACGGAGAGGTCGGGGCCAGCTCAGGGCTGGGGTGGGGCCCTCACTCACCAGAGCTGCAGCTTCACGCGCCGCCCGTCCAGCAGGATGGTGGTGGTCTTGTAGTCGATGCCTGCGGAAGGGGGCAGGGCTTGAATGCAGCCGGGCGGCGGAGTGAGTGTCCCCCACCCTGCAGACACGTGGTTTCCCAGGTGAGGTGGGGGTGGGGCTGGGCCCTGCTGGCGGGTCTCCCCAGGCTGCTCACCCCCCCGCCCCCCTCCCCGGCTCACTGGCGCCCAACCCCGCTCTCCTCTGTCATCACCAGAGGCCTCCAGGCCAGCGCCTGGCCCCCGACGGGCCCTGCCCGAGGGGGGTCCAGTAGGAGCCGGGGCCTCAGACTCGCCTCCCGCCCCGTGGACTGTCCTGCAGCGTGTGGGCAGCCCCGCCTCGGGCCCCTTGTCACTGCCGACCCTCCTCCGCCCTCCCCCTGCCTCCCCGGGACTGCGCCCCGTGAGGGGCTAAAACACGGAGACGCCCCGCCCCCCACACACACACAGTGTCCCACTGAGCGCAGGGAGTGAAATGGGTGGGACAGGAGGTCTGGCGCGAACGTCATCTCGGTGGTGCCAGACACGCGTGGGCGGGGTGCGCGCACACGCACAGGAGCCTGAGGACCGGCCCCGGCCGGCACTGGAGATCTCCGGGTTGCGGGTTTGGGTGGGTTTTCCTTTACTTTCTCTATTTATAGCCTTTCTCTGTTTTCACGTTCTCCTCAATGAGCACCGATGTCTTCCAGAGCAGGAAAAAAGCAATAATCTCTCTTTTAAAGGAGAAACACTCCTCCCCGTTCGACCAGAAACCCATTTTCTGCCTCCGAGAACTGGGTCCTGGGCTCCAGGGCGGGTCGCGGTCGGCGGGGGAGAACGGGCACCCCGTGGGCGGGCGAGGACCACGGCGGGGGGGGGGGGCAGGGCGCTGGAGGACGGCGTTCCCACGGACGCCGGCACACGGCCAGGGAGGGGAGCCCTCCCCAAAACAGACGCAGCACCCGCCGGGCCCCCGAGTTCCCGCCCGCGAGGCTGGGTGTGCTGGAGCGGCCTCACCGACAGACACAGTGCGGGGGCCCTCAGAGCGCTCGGACCCTGAGGGCGGGGCCCGGGGGGCCCTCCGGGACGCGCCCCGGCTTTGAATGCTCACACACAGGAGTGCAAGTGCGGCCAACGCGGAGGGTCGGGGAGAGAAGAGAGAGGCCCTGCCTGGGGGGAGTGCTGCTGGGGGGGCAACAACAGGCGGCTCCCACGAGCAGCGAGGGGGACGGTGTCGCTCCCGAGTGCTGGCCTCCTGCTCCTGGGAGGGTCAAGAATGTCAGACTACCCCCCCCCCCCACACACACACCGAAAAAAAAGCCACAAGAAACAGAGTGTCACATCCAGGAAGTCTCCCGGCATTAAAGCAGGTCGAGGGCAGAACAGTGGGCCTGGCAGGGCAACACCAGATCCCCACTCGCGTTCTGGGCTCGGCGCCCGGCTGTTCAGGGCAGAGCACAGGTTTGGCAGAGAGTTTAGGTCAGTGGCCTCGCGCCCGTGGAGTGGCTCCTCAGAGCCACTGACCACCATGACCTCGCCTCTCCTTTAAGGTCCCACCACTGTCCCTTCGAGGGCCAGCGTCCCCTTTCCCGGCGGCCGGCCGGCCTGCCTGGGCGTGGGTCCCGTGAGACACACGTGCACACGGTAAATAGAACATATGGCTGCATGTAGTATATAAACACAACGCATACATGCACACCGCTAATACACGGAACACTAACTCTACAGTCAGTCAATTAACTTGGAAGTTGCTAAAAGTTACCGTATTTTTGGACTGTAAAATTTTATCATATTTTACTGCTTCACCTTTTACCATATTTTTTGCTTCAAAATTTTTTTTCCTATTTTCCTCCTCTAAACCTAGGTGCATCTTATGATGTGGACCCCAGATGCACCTAGGTTTTAGAGGAGGAAAATAGGGGGGAAATTTTGAAGCAAAAAATGTGGTTAAAAAAAAAGTGTGTCTTATAGTCTGAAAAATGCAGTCGATATTCTAACGACTTCAAAGTTATTTGGGGAAACATCTAGCTTTTCCTCCATCTCCGTGAAGCAGCCAGGACACTTGGGGGTCTGGTCTTGAATCTGGGGGTAACTTGGGGCTGCTGGCAGCCAGTGAGGGGCCCCCCCACCGCCGCCGCCGAGGCCCCCTGCGCTGGGCCGGCTTCTTGGATTCAGAAAGCCCGAGGTACTTATGGTTTAGGCCTGAACAATTCTTTAAAACTTCTCATAATGGTCTTTTTCAGTACCCTGTGAGTTTAAAAAGCTGTATTTCATTTTTCTTTTTGTCAAAGTCGTGGACACGCGCAGCTCCCAACGTCCCACCGTTCGGGGGCTCGGTCTGCAGAGCGGCAGCTGCCCCTGCAGCCCCCCGGGCCCATCTCTGCTGCTCGTCTGTCCTGCCGCGGGTCTTCAGACTGTCGGCGGTAGGTGTGCCCCTGCGTCCTGCCGCTCCACTGTCTGTCGGCCTCGGTCGACTGCCGCCGTGGAGGGGACATGCGGGCCTGTCTCGCTGACACCCCACCGGCCTCCCCCTCTCTCTGTCTATTTGTCTCTGTATCTCTGACGGTCTCTCCCTCTCCCACACACACAGAGTATAATTATGCTGCGATTTGGGCTACGTCAATGTTCAGTCTAACATCACTTCGACCAAGGAAACCACCCACAGGGGAGCCCCGCGGGGCACTGTGCTCACTCTTCCTCCGCTACAGCCTCCGTTCTCCCTGGAGTTAGAAAGCGCCTGCTCATCTGCTCGGTCGTCCCCCCCCCCACCCCCCCTGCGTTTGCCACCAGTCCATCCCTGCGACCTCCCCCGTCTTCCCGGTCTCCTCTGGGCACTTCCCACGTCCGCGCGGCACCTTTGCAGAGTCCTTGCCTGCTTCCCTCTGCTCCAGAGCCCGGCGTCCTGGGCCCTCCCCTCCCGCCTCACCTGCACCCAGGTCCCCCGTCCGGATGCAGTCCTTCTCCTGTCTCCCTGGAAGGGGCACTGGAAGGCAGTGTTGGGGACCTTGCATGCCTGAAATGTCTGCGGTCGGCCCTCCCTCTTCGCTGAGTTCGGACGGGCAGACAACCGAGGCAGGAAATAGCTTTCCTTCGGAACCAGCAAACATTGTCTCATCACGGTCTGCCTCGCTGCTGCTGAGACGGCAGACCTCAAGCCGATTTTCTCTTTTAAAGATGGCTTTTTAAACGATGACTTTTAGAGAGAGGGGAGGGAGGGAGGAAGGGAGGGAGAGAAACATCAGTGTGTGAGCGATACATCGACCGGTTGCCTCTTGCACACCCCCAGCGGGTGGGCCCGGCCCGCAACCCAGGCACGTGCCCTGGTCGGGAACCGAACCGGGGACCTTTCGGTTCAGAGGCGGGCACTCAGTCCCCGGAGCCACGCCAGCCGGGACTCAAACCAACGCCAGATCCTTTGACCACAAGCGAGCCTTTCCTCCCGGAAGGCACGGACGGAGCGGGTCTGGGGACAAAGAACAGTGCAGAGGGAACCCCGGATGTCAGGCCCCTGCGGCTCAGCGGCCTGACAGCAGCCCTGCCCCCGGCGGGCGGGGTCCACGCGGCAGCGAGCCCCTCTGTGCTGCGCCCCGTTGGCCGGCTCCTTGTTCGCACCAAACGTGCCCTGTCGGACAGGAAGCCCCGGGCCCCAGCGACTGCAGGACGGGACCGCGAGGGTCCGACGCACGGGCGCTGCGGAAGGTGCACCCGCACGTCTTCCCAGAGCAGCGGCAACGGCCTCCCCATCCCAGAGCCTCCCTCCCCGTGACCCAGCATCTGAACGATGGTCTGACCAACAGAAATGGCTTGCTTATTAACCGTCGCCACTCAGCTCGAACTCGGTGACTCCTGCGGGTGGCCACTCCCTAGAGCAGCCGTGCTGAGCCGCTGCCCTTCAGCGGACGCCTCTGGCCCAGGGGCCGAGGGGCGCTCTCCCAGAGCGGCGCGGGGTGTGGGCCGACCCGGGCCTCGTGGTGGCCACCGCGCCAGCTGCCTTTAGGGTGGTGACTGGAGGCCTCCTTCCACGCCCCTCCGGCCAGCTGTGCGGCCCAGCCCCAGAGACCTGGATTTCTGCCCCTGAGAATTTGGGACCAACCGGGCGGGGCAGGGGAGGCGGGAGAGGTGGGGCCAGAGGCAGACTGAACTTGCTGGGGTTGCCCACAAGCTCCCCAGGGCTGCAAAGGTGCCCCAAGGAGCAGCTCTGTGTGCCTGGGATCAAACCCCAGTGCTGACAACCAGCCGCTTCCTCCTGCTCCCCATGCCTCAGTTTCCCCCACCGCCTGGCAGAACACGCTTGCCTCAACCACTCGGCCCTGTGGCCCCCGCCAGCAGCCTCAGCTCAGCCAGAGCCCCACCCTGCCCCGGACCTCTGGCCCCAGAAGATGGACCCTCCCACCCAGGGGTGCCGGCGCTGGAAAATTCCCCAGTCATTCCCTTCACGTCCAGGTTTGAAGTCGCACTGTGAGAAGAATCTCTTTTTTCTCATAAACGTATTTACTGAGCCAGACTTTTATTCTCCGCTGTGTTTTCCTGTTTGTCATTTCCTCTTCTCAACTGCATGTTTGTCCCATGTCGGCTCACGAGGAGCTCACATTTTTGACAGACAGCAGTAACATCAGTGTCAGGAACAGTCACATTCCCGGCCCTGAGCTCACTCTCCCCGAGCTCCGTCCCTCGGAAATAAAGTAAAAATACACAGGACTTCCAGAACAGGACCTGTCGGCATGTTCGAGGGAGTCGGAACAGGAGACAAGAAGAGAGATAATTTTAGCCTTTTTAAAAAATAGGAAGCGTCCAGTGCTGAGCCAGTCGCTACACTTTTAGCTCCGCAGGAAGAATAAATAATTCAGTCTCCTATTTCAAGGCCCCCGCCACCTGCTTCGCGCTATTTCGGTGAGGCGGCCGGCCGACATGGCGCGATCTGTCACCTAAGAGGATTTGCTTACGGCGTAAATGTTGGTTAAACCCCGTCCACAAACACACTCGTCTTTGAGAACCTGACTTTCGTCGGGAAATGTGTCTTATGTTGAGTTAAAATACCAGACGGAAG